TTTTTTTTAAATAATATTCCTCCGACATGACGATCAGAGACCTTGTGTAGCTGATTGCTGTTTTATATATATGTTTATTTTAATTTCACATTATTTTTATATAGTTTTTACTTTATTTCCTTTTTTTTTATATTTCTTTTATTCTGTGTATTCTATGAACCACGTTTTTTTTTCATAATCAGGGGCTTGTCAGTACTTTGATGTTTTTTTTTTGATTAAGTACATTTTTGTTGTCACTTTTCCTTTTTTATTGATTGCAAATGTGGGTTAATTCTTATTATATTAGTTATTTTTTTCACTATTCTACACTATTTCTAATTAAATTCCCTTCTTTTTTTTCTTTGGTATACTTATCTTATCGCTTAGAATGTTACAAATTATTACATAGGTATTTACAACTTTATAATGGGGATATGCGTAGTAGAACCAGTGTTACTGAGATTGCCTAAAAGATCAGTAAGCTGAAGTGGCAATGGGCCATCCATAAAACTCGGAAGAATCGACAAACGTTGAGCAAGAAAGGTCCTCGAGCGGTAGACTCGTACCGGTAAGCAAAGTGTAGGCCGACCCCCCACTACATGGAATGACGATCTTCTAAGACATACGGGAAGTCAATGAATGCAGGTGGTTCAGGACCGTGTTTAGTGGCATTCCTTGAGGGAGCCCTATATTCAGTAGTGGTCTTGTGAAGGGCTGTAATAATGATGACGATGATGAAATAAATTTTAAGCAACTGCATTGATATGCCTTCATGACGTGTTATCTGAATTGTTTTTATTTTTATATTACTTCATTTATTATACGCCTGTAATGAAATAAGCTAGTAAAAATTTAAGTAGAACATAATAAGATTATGTATGTATGTATAAACAAGATGATATTAAAACGGTTTATAAAATCTCATTAGTACGAGTATCTTTGTAATGGTCTTCTATTATTTATTCACTTAGTTTAAATTACTATAATTCAAAAGCAATAAATTATTGTCGTAATTTCAAGTTTTGAGATAAAGAGTCGCGTAGATTTATGCTGATTGGGGTACATAGAGTATAAAAGTATATCAACAATCTTGTATTTTCCCGTAGATATCTTGTCGACATTTATTTGGACGACTCCGCCGCGCAGTAGCTTAGCAATGAGTTGCAACGCTAAGGGCCGTGGGTTCGAATTTCGCACGGAACAAGTATTTGTATGGAATACAAATAATTGTTCCGGGTCTCGATGTTTGTCCTTGTGAAATTTATGTATGTAAACTGCCTTCACGATACAGAAGAAAATCCTAGTGTAGAGGTAACGTTTTTTAAAGAAAATAAATAAAAGAAATGTTGCAATACTTGCTGATTATCGAAATTACTAGTTGTGACGATGTTTGGCGGGGGCAGTTATTCAACTGTTAGGATGTAGAGTCGTCGTAGAGTCCTCTACAATATCTAGTTTCCGTAGTACTCTTAAGAAATCGCTGACCGGTATAACTATTTTTGATTGTAGTATATATTATGGTTTCATATTTATTATTTAGTTCTTATTTAGGCTTAATTCGATGCAATGAAGTGGTTGCGACATTTTATCAAATATCATCAACTTTTCAATGGTATTTTTATGATTCTAATATATTATGTGTAAGATATATTCGTACGATAAATCAGTGACGTAGCATAGGTTACCGTAGTCCTGAGCCTGTAAAGCCATAAATCCCCCCCCCCTCTTCCTCATGTTCACAAGTATCGTAGATGTTTTCTATAATCTTAATTATTTCAAAATGAATAAAATGTAGTTTTGTACTTTTTCCTTATCCATGGCAAGTATGTATGTGCACATAGGTGTATAGATAATCCTTACTTTCCTCTATTAATCAATATATTATCCCAAAATGCCGCCTGCTAAATCTACCATGGGTACTTTAGCCCCCGTTTTACTACGCCGTTGCTATTGAACATCATTCTAGAAAGTTGTTACAAAAAGTTTGTCATTGGACACTGCGCTGCAGTGCGATACAAACGAGTACAAATGAAAGCAATCTACGTAGGTAATATTATGATTGTGCTAATATCTTTTCTTCTTTATTATCAGTCAGCAAAAGTTTAGGTACTACGGAATATGGGCTTCTCCCGTTTTTTAAAGCACTACAATGTTTCAGATACATACAACAACTTCATTTGCTTATCGGATACTGGACAGAAACATGTCATCATATTTAATCGCTTTTGTCATAGTGTGTCAGTCGTAAATTGAAGATAATTGAGAATTAACAAAAAACTTTTTGTGTGCTATATGAATATGACCTCAACCTTTTTACTATCAAATGTTAATATGTTATTATTATAACCAGATATTATGATACACAATGTAATCATCACGGACAATTTCTTATTAAAATTATCTGTTGAATGTAAAACACTTTTGGAAAATTATTGTTATATTTTATTTAAAATAAATACATAAATTACATTTAAGGCGAGTGTGAATGAAAGTGTTGGAAGGGGTAGACCTAGGCGGACGTTTCAAGACCAAATCAGGGACGTCTTGAAAAAAGGCCAGGTCAAGAGTACCCTAAACCGTAGAGCATGTATCAAGGGAATAATGAAAGTGGACGAAGCGAAACAAGTATGTAAGGATCGTAGCAAGTGGAAAGAAGTGGTCTCTGCCTATCCCTACGGGAAAGAGACGTGATTATAATATGTATGTTATTCTTTTTTGCTTAAGTCCGTTTGAGACATCTTACCCATTTTAGTGTAACTACTGTTCTGTTTGGTTGGTTAAAGAGTCACTTTAATTACAATACTGTGAGGCGTTCCTTCTTCATCCTCAACAACATGCGTGTGTGATCTTCTTTGAAAGAGGTTGATTGCAAATGTCCATAGATTGCACTAGTGACTTAACCATATTGTTGCCCTGTTAGATAGTTTGTTCATTTTGATATTATAGAAAAAAAACTCCAAGTAGTATAATAGTTTGTAAATTCGGATACGATGGATGCAGGTGTCTCTACGATCGTGCTTGTGGAATTCCTTGGGTAAGGCTTATGTTTATCAGTTGCCATGTGATGCACTGTAATGATGATAATAATAATGATGATGATTACTCTATTTAGTATTATATTTTGTATCGGTAAAGTTCCTTCTCCATTGTCGCATTTAAGTGCTATTATGAACGCAGGAAATAGTCACTTTACTATATAAACTGCCACAATGGGCGGTTTTCCATTTATCGGCACGGTGACGGCGACGGCAACGACACGGATGTCGGGGAATGTATGAAATAATAAATGTGACGTGTGTTGAAAGTATGTTCATAATATTCAACCGATCCACAAGTATAAATAACTAAGTGCCTACAGTCAGAAAATGATCTTTATTGTTTAGTAACAATCCGCCTTATATCTATTAATGTCATTTATGTTAATTTTTGGATTTAAGATATTTAATTACGATCATTTTATTGTATCAACAACACACATCATAATCACTTAAAGGTAATCACAGCATGCTATTAATTTACTATTTAGTACTATGATTAAATATTAGTAAATTGTACTTATGATTAAATAAGTGCCAATATTTATGCTACAAAACTGTCGATCACAAGATCCTGGATTGGAATCTCGGTTCGGGCTTAAAAAATCAGTAATTGAGTTTTTCAGTCAATAAGTTCTCAGTGTATCTGTGTCTTGAAAGCACGTAAGGCCTTGTAAGGTCGTGTCGGATTGCCGTCCCATTGGACTATGAGAGTGAAAGAATAGAGAGTGTACTTGTGCTTGCGCATACTCTCGGGCACTATGACTACACTCTTTACTCTGTACTATAACCACAAACCACACTCTTTACTCTGTACTATAACACTTAACCACACTCTTTACTATAACAATATAATATACTCTGTACTACATAACACTGTCCTGCTTAGAAGGCCAGTCTTCCTTGAGATAGGCCACCGTGACCAAAATTCAGTCTAGAGGACATTAATATTGTTATTACTATTATTTGAAATCCTTATTTTTGATATGCTTTGTTTTTTTACTTTTATAAATTCTACCTGGAGATAAGTGGTGATAAATAAATCCCACTGTCTTAACGCAACAAATACTATTCACTCCTGCATTGCATTGAAGACAATGCGGGTGACACTGTCATTTGACGGAAAGACCGATGTTGGGGAATTATACCACTCATTTGTATTTTGGAATACGAAAAACAATCCTTTTAGTTTGTTTAGAATATCAACAACAAAGAGGCGCAGATCCTCTAGAAAATGTTACTACTTAATTTTTTAAAAATTATTAAAATCGGTCCACAATTGACGAAGAAGACGAGTAACATACATATAAAAAAGAACATGCACACGAATTATTAATTATCTAGTATGAAGAGCACCTCCCGCCCTCCCTCAATTGCGTGCACTATCCCCGTCACGACTAATCCCAGCACCGCTACTCCCAACACCACTACACTAGGCAAGACACACCACTGACGATAATACGACACGTGTTTCGCCTCTACACGAGGCATCCTCAGGTGATATAGACTCTACGGTGGCTAACCGCTAAGAGCGGTTATTTGCGAAGTAAATTTTTCTAAAAGCTTTTTTTGAAAAATAGAAGTCTGTTGTTGCCTGTTACACTTATAATTATAAAGCAACATCATTATTATCGTATTGAATGAAACTAATTTTTATGGATTTTATCGCGTTTAATTGTCTTGTCTTGTATTTTATTTATATTTCTGCTGTTTGGAATTGGGCAGCACCTATGGTAACGGGGGAGGGACTTTGCTCAAGTGTTCAATGTCCAATATCACGTGTTCTCCCGGCGTAGTCCTTCAACTGTTATCTATAATTACTTAAATAAATAGTTAAGAAATTATTGATAAAATTCCTTAAACATTCTATGTGTAATATTCGTATGAACATTAGACCTTATTCAGTTATATTTTTTAGAAAATTAAAGTGTATTTTTCCACAAATTTAAATGCACATATTATAATATTACCCTTTATAATTTTCAGGAATCAGTGAACGGGATAGCAAAAATCATGATGCGTTCGAAAAGATGATTGGATCATTTGGCAGATATCAATTACGTCTTTGCTTACTTATATTTTTGACAAAATTTCCAATAGCCTTTCATCAAATGGCAATAATCTTCTTGGCTCCGAAAGTTGAATACACGTGTGGAGACGCGACCAATGAGAAATGCCCTTGCCCTAACCCTGTTTATGATACTTCGATTTTTAATAGGACTATAATTATGGAATGGGACTTAATTTGCGATAGAAAATGGTTGACCAGTTTTACACAAACATTGTTTCAATTAGGTACATTAATAGGTAGCGTATTATTTGGAATGGCTTCAGATAGGTACCTATAAAATGTTTTTAAAAGTTTCATTTTTAATTTTTTAATTTGTTGGTTGAATAAAATACTGTTTTTTTTTTAATTTTAAGGTTTGGGAGAAAGAAACCTTTCCTAGTTGCCATCGTTATACAGGTGATAATGGGTATATCTGCAGCTTACATACCGGATTTTTGGGCGTTCACTTTCGTCCGATTTTTAATTGGAGTTTCCGTTGGTGGAACCATGGTGATTGGATTTGTCTTAGTCATGGAATATGTTGGAATTGAATATCGAGATGTCGTTTCTGCCCTTTATCAAGCGCCCTTTAATTTAGGACACATGCTACTGCCCGTTTATGGATATTTTTTAAGAGACTTTTCAGATTTTCAGTTGGGAATTTCAATACCGACGATTGTTTTACTATCTTTCTTTATCCTTTTACCGGAATCACCAAGATGGTTAATAGCTGTTAAAGAAACTGATAGAGCCATAGGTATTTTGGAAAAAGTAGCCAAAGTGTAAGTAATCTCAATAAGTTTTAATACGTACATATTAAGTTTTATTTACTAGGTGCTAGGACTCATTTTATACCCTTTTTTTATAGGATAAGGGTGACAAACGAGCACACAGTCCACCTGATGGTAAGTGATTACTGTGGCCCATAAACATCTACATCTATCATCCATTACGAATCAAAATCCAGATGCGTAGTCACCCGTGAGGACTAAGATGGAATGCCTCGTTTCCAGTAAAAAAGGGTCTCCGGTTCTCTACACTCACCATATGAAACACAGCAGCGTTAAGCTGCTATTTTACGTTGGTATTCTGTGAGAGCATGGTCCTACCCCGGTCGAGCCGACCCATTCGTGCTACAACTATATAATAGCTGCAGCATGGCTCTACCACCTATAAGTGTGTGTCTGGGCAGGTACCACCATCTTACCTATTTCTTTATTTTTTTACAATAGTTCTGCTATTTAACTGATGTTTCGGTCTGAAGAGTTTCGAGGGCCAGTATTATTACAGGCTGTGAAGCTTTCCATCTTAGTATTCATAGGTGATGACACATCTGTAGTCTCCTTTATATGAAGCTGGCTGCAGGTGTACATTGTATCCAGTAGCCACTTACCACCAGGTGCACTGTAAGTTCGTTTGTCACTTCAGTTCTTTTCTGCCGACTTCCAAAAAGGAGACGGTACTCAATTCGACTGTATTTTTTGTTTTAATTTTTTTATGTGTGTTACCTTATAACTTTTTACTGGGTGAACTGATGTCGATGATTCTGTTTTTGTTTGAAAGCTGGTACTTCTCGTGTGATCCCATATGAGTTTGATCAAGGTCAGACCAATAGTTTTTGAGTTATTCTTAAATAATTTATATTGAAGTCGGCTGTACAAAATTTTTAATTTTAAATTATTTAAGAAACGGAAAGAGTGACAAAGCAAATTTATGCTGCAGATGTTAGTGGTAGAGTCGGCAAGGGACGTCCCAGAAGGAAGTTTATCGGCCAAATTATGAGTACTCTTAACCTACGAGCATGTATGCGTACCTAGATATATGAATATGAAAGATGCGAGAGAGGTATGTCAGAATCGTGTCAAGTGGAAGTCTGTAGTCTCTGCCTACCCCTCTGGGTGTTAGGCGTGAGCTGTATTATGTACGTTATAATGCGGATGCAGTATCATATCACTTTCATTGCTAATCAAATTTTAGCAATGAAAGCGATACTTTATTAGATACATTGAATTTTGATATATAAGGAACATTGACTCCGAGTTCGACATTTAAAATATCTTTAGTAGGTAGGTAGTTTTGTTCTTTACAGATGTACATATATGCTTAATAAATTGATAATACTTTCAAATAAACAACTTATAACTACTTGGACAAAACAACACTTCATAATACGATTAACATTATCTTATTTGTACGTATATCATGATGTACGCTATACTAAGTTATTAAAAATATTTTTATTTTCTTTTTAGAAATAAACGATCAGTTGACATTCGCAAAGAAGTTGCAACATACCAAGAAACATCTCAAAAAAATCAAACTAGAAAAGGAAACATATTAGATTTATTTCGAACACCAAATCTACGAAAGAATATTTTATGCATGGCGTTTAATTGGCTAAGTTGCAGTTACTGCTTCTACGGTGTCTCGCAGTACGTCGGTCAACTCAGTGGAAATGTATTTATTAACGTAGCGTCGAGCGCAAGTGTGACTCTTCTTGGTTCTCTGGCATCAATACCATTAATGAGAATCCTCGGAAGAAAGACAATTGTGATACTATTTAATTTTATCTGTGCTTTGTGCTTAATCATACTGTGTTTAGTTCCCGAAGGCATAAGCTCTGTCGTGTTTGCATGTATAGGCGTAGTATCAAGCTTTATTGTTTTTGTTGTTGTATATTTGTACTGTACGGAATTATTCCCGACTGTAGTTCGAAATGCTGCTCTCGGTTTTTCATCGATGATGGCGCGAGTTGGCTCAATGATAGCGCCCTTTGTTATTGAATTGAGGGATGTGGCGTTATGGCTGCCGCCGTTTGCCTTCGCCGTATTGCCATTATTAGGTGCTTTGATAACATTCCTTTTACCTGAAACAAAAGGTTGTGAGTTAATGACTACTATCGAGGAAGGAGAAAAATTTGGTAAAAAGGTTGAAAATACTTTAAAAAATACCCAAAATAAATGACCGACGTTAGTAAATAGTCTTTTTTTAATTTTAAGTCATGTGATACAGCTATTACAGCTATATGTTGTATATTTATTTATTATTATTATAGTTTATTTATTAATTAATAGTATTTTACATAAGTTTTTAATCACAAATGTTGTTTTAACCTTAAATTTAAATTAGTCTTTATTTAAAATAAACATCGTTTTAAAGGACAGTAAATATACCTCTAATATGTATAATACTTGTATATACTTGCACGTACGTCGCAAGGTAATCGTGTTAGGCTTGAATGAATGTGGTTTAGGAGTTGAAATAATACGATAGAATGTTAATTTATTTTTAAAGTACAATAGGTAATATATAAAATAGTTATAATGTGATAATGATTAAGCAAGTTATATTAAATTATATGAGTATTATTATTAACGTCTGATCAAATGTTGAACTTGAAGATGATGTCTCTCTGGTTGGCTTTAGTGTCTGCGATATCTTCCGCACATCATCGGAAATCAAAAATTGCACAGGAGATATAATAGGGCTATGCCAACAAGTATATGCGGAACAATGAACTATATAATAAAGTTTAAATCTATCGTAGCGTGATAATCATGATTTTCTTTACATGTATATTCTGACCGCGGTATCGAACTTTAAATGTTATCTATTTTATTGTATGATTATGTATGTACGGGTAAACTTATTCTTACTCGCTATTACTTAGTCTTTGTATCCGATGAAAGAGTAATGTAGTCTGATTACAAATTGAGTGTCTATGGGTTACATATTTTTACTAGGTACGTTAAGTTAACAACCGTGACTTCGGAGTGGGTAAAAGTCAAACAAATTGTAAAAGGGGAACAATTGCAATGAATTAATAATAAAATTAAATATCTACCTATTCTGTAAAATAAAATAAAATTTCCGTACTTTATTGCATTTTATTTAATAAGTTAAGCTACCGACATGTTCATTGATTTACGGCATAAACGAACGGTTTACTTTATTACTTCTTAAATGTCTCTTTTTTTATAACTTCAAAAGGCATTCAGTCTTCAGGACAAATATAATTGTTGCTAACATATGAAATTGTATAATATAAATAATATCAAAGAAAAATAATAACAGTAGTTAGCCAAAGGCTTGATACAAATACGTACTGATATTTGTAACATTATAGGTACTATATACATACATTGTTATTTGTTCAAAAAAAAATGTGTTTCCCACAGTCCCACTTAGTGTTATCAGTAAAGTCACTGCTTGTGACGGTGCGGTGTCTTATGGTGCTTCATATATTTCCCGACGTTAGTATATTAGGAGGGCGATCGCTGAATTACCGTGCACAGGCGGTGTAAGTATAGTAGTATGTATTCACTTAATCATATTGTCCCGTGAATGTCGTAAGAAGTGACAGAGGGTAACAAACTAACAAACCAGAAGATGGACAGCATCGTCTTTTAATAACAACTAAAAAAAATCACCCGCCAAGCGTGAGAACTATGGCAAATATCGAAATTTGTTTGTTTGTTTACTACGCGTTTCTGCTATCTTCTGGCCTACATTTATAACTGCACATTTTAGCTCCTGTAATTAAAAAACATAATATTAGCACCTAAAGTAAAATAATAAATCAAAATACTACTTTTAACCTTTTCCGTTTTATCTCATCTGCACCTGGGATTTTATTACTTTACCTGCAGTTAAACCATAAACTAGTAAGCACACAAACCTTGTTATTTATATGTAATCATGCATAACTAACTAGCTAGTATAAGATAAATTTACCAAAATTTTAAATAAATGTTCTTAATTTTTTCGTTTTCTTTTTTCTGCTGAAATAGCTTGGTTTTATTTCCCATTACGTTTGAATCATAATTTGTTGTCACTCTAAAATAAATATTGTCGGCTATCAAAAATAATATGTAATAAAATATTTTAATTTTTTCTTATATTTACGCGAACACTACACATTGAATAAAACAAGTTTTTACGGATTTTATCGCATTTAATTTACTATTTAATTCCCGACGTTTCGGGTGCTTTACAGCAACCCATGGTCACGGGGGGAACTGAGATGTTTGACGTCCCGATGTCACAGTTAGCCCGGCTACCTTCAGTTTTTTAATATTAATTTTTGGTAATATTAAAGCACCCGAAACGTCGGGAATTAAAAATAGTAAATTAAACGCGATAAAATAGTTTTATTCAAAATATTTAAATTTGAACCGATTGTATAGAAACCAAACGCGTTTTTTTCTTGTGGTTTTATAGTAATGTTAAAATATAGAAAAGCAATAAAGCTATTATATTTTTAATTTTAAAGGGTAAGGGTTAAAAATATGTTCTTCTAACATATTAAGCTATTATTTAATTAAATTAAGTAACATAAATTGGTGAAAATAATCGTTTTATCCACAGCATTTTCATAAAGTTTTCATTTGGTTTGAATTTTTAATTTCTTATGTGTATAACCCACGTATAACTTGAATCAAAATATCTTTCGTGGTAACTTAGGGTTTGTCAAATTAATTGTATTTTTTTGTTTTATGAATTGTCAGCCATTTTAGGTATTTTAAGCTTTAAAATTGATGCTAAAAGGGAAATTAAAAACCTATTAAAAATCTATTAAATGCTATACTGTATCAATGTATGTATATAATAAACTATTTAGATCGTAAAAATTTTAAAGTGAAGATAAGCGGTTGATGGATAATAACAGGTTTCAAAAGTACTGTTTTGAGCTAATCAACTCTTGGAACGTATATATCTACGTCCTTAATAAAACCAGTCTGCCAAATTTACATGATTATGTATCTACACTTTAATTCTGCTTAAAATTTAATTTCGTTGATATTTAAAATAAGGGTTGTAAAATTATTCTTTTAGAGTAGGTACTTATTGCGCTTTATTTAATCTTTTTGTAGGTTTTTTAACCGTGGTAGAGCCATGCTGCAGCTGTATTAATTATATAGTTGTAGCACGAGTGGGTCGGCTCGACCGAGGAAGGTTCGGGAAGGATCCCGCTCTCACAGAATACCAGCGTAATATAGCAGCTTAGCTATAGTGTAGAGAACTGGAGACCGTTTTTACTGGAAAAGAGGCATTCTATCTTAGTCCTCACGGCTGACAACGCATCTGCATTTTGATTCGCAAACGAGGATAGATGTAGATGTCTATGGGCAACAGCAACCATTTAGCATCAGGTGAACTGTGTGTTCGCTTGTCACCCTTATCCTATAAAAAGGGGTATTATAATAACAATAACAGATTTTATTTATTCGTATATTTATTTATTTGACAAAATAATTTATTTTTGACTCAAACATCATAATAATACCCGCCAGATCAAATTTTGGCCACGTTGGTTTGTCTCTGTGCAGGGCAAGATAATAGTGCGCGAGTGTAGGCGCAAACACAGGTGCACTCTCTATTTTCTCCCTGTTATAGTCCGATGGAAGCGCAATCCGGCACGGCCGGAAATCAGACCAACCCCTTTAAGTGCTCTCCGAGGCATAAGGCTGAAACCCCACCAACTTCCTGACTCTGGGCTGGTAACGAGAATTTCGTGACAGACAAATTCAATAACTAATTTTTTACCTGCATTGACCTGGGACTTGAACCCGGAATCTCACGATTAGCTGTCGCGCTTACAACGAGGTAGTCATAAACGTATTATATACGCGGATGCCTGATGAGTTGATCTTTATTTCTTTGGTTTATCGAAAATAGATGCAGGTGTCTCAGGAAGGAAGTAAGTTTTGTGGTATTCCTTGAGTAGTGATGATGCAGATAATGATAATGAAGATGTTGGCCAAAAGGTGATTCAAGGTTCCTGTGTGACGGAAATGTTGTGGGCGCACACTGAACCCTGGACTACGTCTGTAAGGGAGAGTGGGTTTTATTCCCAAAGTGATAATACATCACTAGCTTTATTTATAGGTACTCGATTATTTGAAAAAGCTGCCAAAAATAGGTGGCCTCCCTACGTACACGGTGTAAATAAAATGCGTAAATTATTCATCGCCTTGCAGAGAACCTTGTTTTCTAGAATGGCATTTAAAGACCAATTAGTGATAACACATCATAAATATGTAAAATGTCATTAAATACACTGTATCTACTGTTAAATAATACAAATTATTCAAAATTCAAGGTAGTATTCACAGATATTCACAGTCGACCTTGCATTACAGTACGTATGGCTACGTAGTGCTATTACTTATTCTGTGGTATAGATGAGCGCTGCGCGCTCACCGACCTCTGTCGCCAAAACAAAAAATATTAAAAAAAATATTTTTAAAAGAAAACTATATGAGCATATCCGTAGCCTACAAAGTTGAGTCAATTTATTTGATATGTTTATAGTTATTTATATATACATTTATTGAGATATATATGTATTAATGTGTGTATTTATTTATATATGTATATAAATTATATATATATATATATATATATATATATATATATATATATATATATATTATATATATGTGTATATTTTATGTATGTGTTGCATGTATATATTTGAACTGTATTATATCATGACAACTTAACTGCCCAAACTCACTCTCTGTTCTACCCAAGGTTAGCTGGTAGAGAATGCCATATTGTACGCCTTTTGTACAAATATTTGGTGCAATAAAGTATAAATAAATAAACATCTAGAATATTCGAGTACATATTGGTCCCCAAATTTCTAGAATGATCTTGACTCTTCTAGTTCTCCTACTCGACACTAGAGGGTGCTAGTGGTAACTAGTGTTGCCATGTACAAGACATTAATAGTGGCGCGCAACACTGCCCCCTCCTAAGACATGCTCGTCCCGAGCATTATTGCGCCCATAATAACGCGCCAGTCAATCGACATGGACGATCTTAAGAATACCTCTGGCACCTTTCTGTATCCGGTAGGTTACGTCATTGATCCTTGTCACAGTCCCGTACGGTCCGTCCCATTTAGCTCAAAGCTTGCGAGATTTCCCTTTGCTGCAAACTGGATTGTGTAACCACACTAGTGAACCTTCGTCAAACCCTTTGTTGTTCATTTTGTGGTCATACCGTGTTTTCATCTTTGCAGACGTTTGCTGGCCCGACTCTCTGACGTGCTCATAAATGTCATTCATTTTGTTCCGCAAGTCATTTGCCTCATCGGTTATACTGCGTGGGGCATCAGGTGGTATTCCGTGATCAAGTCTGCAGGCAGCCGTGATTCTCTCCCAAAGTTTGCGAAAGCTGGTGTCACAGATGTACTTTCGTGAACAGCGCTTCGATATGACAACAAAAACGGTTGTATGTGCCTGTCCCAGTCTCGTTGCCGTTTTCCCACAACTTTTGCTAGGTACCTCTCCAATGTCTGATTAAATCGTTCTACCATTCCATCAAATTGTGGGTGGTAAGAAGTTGTTCTTGTTTTATGAGTACCCATAACTCGGCAAGTTTCCTGGAATATTTGAGACTCAAAATTCCTTTCTTGATCGCTGTGAATCTCTGATACTCCAAAACGACAGAGGACTTCATGAACTAGTTTATCTGCAACTGTTGAAGCTTCTTGATTTGGAATGGCGAAGACTTCTGGCCACTTAGTGAAGTAATCCATCACAACCATGAAATACTTGTTACGTCAATGGCTATGCTCTCCCATGGTGCACCAACATTGGACAATTTCAATGCGCCTCTACTACGAGTTTGAGGTCCCTTTACAGCCGCAGAACTTGTACATTTGCGGCACCAGTCCTCAACATCGTCACGACAGTGAGCCCAGTAAAACCGTTCTCGGATCTTCAGTAGAGTTCGTTTAACTCCCAGGTGGCCTCCTGAACAACCATTATGGGACAGCTGTAGAACATCCGGTACTTTAGCCTTAGGGACAACCATTTGCAAATGACAACTCTCTCCCCGACCATTTTCCCATTTACGGCACAGGACTCCATCCTGAATCTGCAAGCTGTCCCATTGGGCCCAATAGCTATTCGTGGTCGAACACATCGCTGAGACGCCACTCCACTTGGGCTTAGGAGTACTGGCCTTCATCCATTCCAGAATCGGCTCAATGTCCGAATCTTCCTGCTGTGCATATTGTAGGCTGTTCTTCCACTCATTGCTGAGCTGGTCTGTCCTGAGCATCCTCACAGATACCACTTCCTTACCCTCTTGCCTAGTACAATGCTCGCAATCTTTAGGGCAAGGTCTTCTTGACAATGCATCTGCATTGCCATGAGATTTCCCGCTGCGATATTCGATCACGTAGTCGTATTCCTGCAGTAGTTCAATCCATCTCGCAACTTGTCCTTCCGAATTTTTGAACTGCAATAGTCATTTCAGTGCAGCATGGTCAGTTCGTAAGTGAAATTTCTGCTCCAGAAGATATTTGCTAAAATGCTGCAAGGACTTTACCACAGCAAGCAATTCCCGTCTTGTGACGGGAAGTTCCTTTCCGGCTTTGACAACGACTTGCTGAAGTATGCTATCACAACCTCTTGATCACCATTCCGTTGAGACAACACACCGCCAAGGCCTATATCACTTGCGTCTGTGTTAACTATAAATTCCTTGCCCGCATCAGGGTACCCCAAAATAGGTGTTTTGCACAGACGGTCCTTGAGCTCCTGGAATGCGATATCGCAACTTTGATCCCAGCAGAAATGTCACTTCTCCTCGGTTAGCTTGTGCAGAGGCTTGGCTATATCTGCAAAGTTCTTCACAAATCGCCGATAATAGGAGCACAAACCCAAAAATGCCAAAAGACAAGACGCAGGTTAGAACCTGGGTCTTGTCTTTTGGAACCGGTCAATCCTTGACAGCGGTAATTTTCTCTGGATCCGTGCGGATATCTTCTTCCGATACTACATACCCCAAAAAGATAACTTGCCGTTTGAATAGTGAGCATTTCTTCGGACTCAACTTGAGGTTGGCACTCTGGATCTTCATAAGCACGCGTTCCAGGTTTTGAAGGTGTTCCTCAAACGTATGGCCTACGATGATGATGTCATC